TACCCATCTCTTTTCCATATCCATATCTTTTTTTCTTTCTTTCTTTCTTTCTCTATTCCCTCCTCCCTCCCTCCTCCCTCCCTCCATCTCTCTCTCTCCTTCCCTCCCTCCCTTCCTCCCTCCCTCCCTTCTTCCTTCTTTCTTTCTTTCTTTCTTTCTTCCTTTCTTCCCATCCTGGGACTTAAACTCAGGTCTAGGTGATGTCCCTGAGCTTCTTTTTGCACTTTACCACTTAAGCCACAGCTCCACTTTCAGCTTTTTTGATAGTTTAGTGGAGATAATTGTCTAATAGACTTTCCTGACTGGGCTGCCTTTGAACTTTAATCTTCAGGTCTCAGCCTCCTAAGTAATTAGGATTATAGGCATGAGCCACCAGTGCCTAGTTCACACTGTTTTTGTTGTTTGTTTGTCAGTCACAGGCTTGAACTCTGGGTCTGGGCGCTGTCCCTCAGCTCTTCAGCTCAAGGCAAGTGCTCTGCCACTTGAGACACAGCACTATTTCCAGTTTTCTGGTGGTTAATTGGAGATAAGAGTTTCAGGGTCTTTCTTGACCAGGCTGACTTTGAACCACGATTCCCAGAGCCCAGCCTCCTTAGTAGTTAGGATTACAGGCGTGAGCCACCAGCGCCCAGCTTTTCTTATTCTTGAAAACATTTCTCTCTTAATTAATTTCCCTTCTGAAATATTAGGCAAGCATTGTACACTGTGAAATGGTACAATGGTACCACCAAGCCTTGTTGATCATCCCAGCTTTGAAGTCTCAGCATGATAGCTACTATTTCTCAAATTTTCTCTTCATTGAAGTTTATGGGTGTGTATTTTTTCCATCTTACTTCTGTCTCTTAAAGAGCATGGATTTGATAATTCATCTGTACTTGTAAATAACAGTAGCCAAGCAATAATTTCTTGTATTTTTTATTTTTATTTTTTTATTGTGAACATACTGTACCAGAGGGGTTACAATTACATGGGCCCAATAATATCTAAATAAATGTATATTTGATTCAACATATAATAATAATAACCATCTGTGGGCCGGTTTGAAGGGGAATAGAGAGTATTCTCAATTGAGGGTATTTGGTAAGGGGATATTCCCTGCTCCTATTTATATGTTCCTTACCCAGTTTGGGGTGCATTCACCCCAAATGTGTTCCAGATTTAGAATTTGACTTTGAGAATACTACAGATATGAACTCACGTATTAGATTCCATTCAGATAGCAGAGTATTTGAGGAGCTGGCCCTTTGTATTGTTTATGTAGGTCACAAGTTAAATCCCCAGTGAGGCCTTGTGCACTGTGCTAAACTCTGTCCCACACTTAACTTACTAGACTCACCTTAGTTTTGTTTGCCATGACTTTTTTGTTTTGTTTTGTTTGGTCATGGGGCCTGAACTCTGGACCTGGGCGCTGTCCCTCACGTCTTCAGCTCAAGGCTAGCACACTACACTTGAGCCACAGTGCCACTTCTAGGTTTTTCTGCTTATGTGGTGCTGAGGAATTGAACCCAGGGTTTCATGCATGCAAGGCAAGCACTGTACCACTGAGCCACCTTCCCAGTCCCTTGACTTTTTTTGGCATGACTTTTGTGTCAAGTTGTTAAGCTGTATCCATGGTTCAACTTACCACTTAAAAAATTCATTCTAGTTGCATTTTCAACTTGCCTTATGTTTAATTTTTAACTCGTTAAAACCAGCTTTGCTGTGGATGAACTGGCAGTGGAACTTATGCTTCATAATTTTTAAATCCTTCTTTGTGGAGTTTTCTACTATCCTATCATACTCTAGTATTTCCTTTTGCTGGGAAATATGGTATCATTTGTCCAAGTCAATCAATATTGATATTTGCTTAGAGATGGACTTAATAACTGTCACCATGGAACCATCTAAGGATTTAATGCCCTCAGAACTATCCTTCCCCACATTGGTCCTCTTTATTCTGGTACACTTTTGAGGTTTTTTCAATCATACTTGAGTTTCTCAAATTCTGTATATGTCCCTTGCCCAAGTCACTTCCTTCTGATTCAGGATCTACCTTTTGCCTTACCCCTCAATAATCTCCTATCCTTTTCTTATTTTCATTCTTCCCTTCTAAGCCATTGCTTGTCCCCTAAATACTTGAGTTGCCAGTCCAGACAATTCTGTTAAATGACAGCCCAGTACATTATTGTCATTGGTTTACTTGTCTGTTTTTTCTCATAAGCCAAAGGTTGTCTAAGTCTGTTTGATTTCTCTTTTTATATTTGGAACCTAGTACAGTGTCTACTATATACTAGATACTTATTAACTAGATAATCACTACTGAGTTTTCTAAATTCCATCTCAGAGTTGGAAACTATCAAGAGGTGCTTTTAACTTTCCATTATTTGACTAATATACAATCAACCAGAATCCAGTTCTTGAGTTATTTCTGCCCGTGAGCAATTATTTTATTAGGTAGCACTTAACAGTCATAAAAGTAGATGAGCCCGACAATCATACATCCATACAAAAGGTAGAGAAGGGAGGAGTGAAGGATAAAAGGGAATGAGTTAGCAAAATTCAACCCAGTTGCATACTGGCACAAAGGTGACTGTGGTTCAGAAAGCCAGCTTGATTCAGAAGAGCTCAAGTAGGAGCAAAGAGCAAAAGGCAACTAACAGAGCAAGGATTCACAGCAAACAGGCAGACATGAGCAGGTGAGTACTGAATAGGGCCTGGGTCCTTTGGGATTGTATTCTCTCAGGCTCCAAAGGATTTAGAAGAAGTAAAACCAGAATGTGAAGCTCTGAGAAGGGCAAGTAGGAAGAATTAGTGTTTATAGAGGTGTACAGAAACTGAAAACCGTGGGAGACTAGTACAAGAGGATAGTGAGTGAGCTTGAGGCCATCCAAGGCTACATCTGAGACCCTATCTCAAAACAGATACTACCAACAAAAAACACCAAAAAGTGAGTGAATGATAGTAAGTGGTTACCCCAGTTTCAAGAAAAGAATCAAAAGGGCGGGTTGTGAGCAAGAGATGTTGAGAAGATTATTAATTCTGAAATGTGATTTAAATATGCTCATGTATTTAGCCTCAGCTTAAAAGCATATAAAACTTAACAAATTTGGACAAAATAACACCTTTGTGTACTGACACATTTGGGAACTCCTTCCTTGGCAGTGTGCAATCATCATCATCCAGTGGGCAATTAATCTTTTAGTAAGATCATCTATTATATTTTTGCTAAATATGTGTGTAGTGCCTGAGTTATTGGATTATTATAACACCTATATGTTATATATTAACACTATTAATATTATAGATTAACACTATTATATATTAACATTATTCTAGCACCAGGAACACATCAGGGATAAAACACAAAAATCTTTGCAGACATAGCTTACATGAGGGATAGAAGTGAGGTACAGCAGGGAATGTGAAAATAAAAGTGTAATAGATTATGAAGTGTGTTAGAAAGTGAAAAGTGCTGTGAGAAAGAGAAGAAAGGTAAAAAATGTGCATGTGGCCCGCTGAGTTGCAGTTTTAAAAAGGGAGGACAGCATGTGTGTAATCCTAGCATCTCCAGAAGTAGAGATCAGGAGCCCTTGGAGGGGGTGGGGCAGGGAGAATTGAGACCTATTTTAGGAGGAAAGGTTAGGCAAAATGGTACATTCCATATCAGAGTTGGTAGGAAGCATAAATAAGATTGTGGTCTTGACTGAGCTGGACAAACAATGAGATCCTATCAAAAATGCCATGAGCATATTTACCTGGTAGGGGACATACCATGATTACAAAGGTGGTCTTGTCAGACTAAGGTTTGTTCATTGCACTCCATGTATGCTGACCTCTGCAGTTTCCTCAAATGTGGCAAGCTCGACTCCAGAATCTTTGTTTGTTTAAAAGAAATGAATGCCCAAATTAGAGGCGTAGCTCAGGTGGTAGAGATCCTGCCCAGCAAGTGTGAAGCCTTGAGTTCAAACTTCATAACTAAAAGAGAAGAAAGGAGAGGGTGGTGGGAATTGGGAACATGGAAGGTCTCACAGAAAAGGTAAAATTTGGATAAAGATTTTTTTTAAATGAATAAGCAAGCTGTGCAGACATATATACAATACAACGCCATTGAACAAATTAAAGTTTTAAGTTTTTTAATAGCATTTTTCAGATAGCTAGTCTTAAGGAAAAGTGAGGTTGGATTAGAAAGTAAGTGCTGAGGGTAAAAAGGATATTTATTTAATGTGTCCATTCTCTGCTTTCTCTAAGGTTCATTGTTTGCATTTACACTGAATAATAGTGTGACTCAGCAGTTTTTGTTCCATGAAAGTAGATATCCAGGATATATTTTTTTCTACTTTAAAACTCTGAGGAAAGAGGGGCTGGGAAGGTGGCTAAGTGGTAGAGCACTTGCCTTGCATGCTTAAGGCCCTGGGTTTGATTCCTCAGCACCACATAAAGAAAAAAGTCGGAAGTGGCACTGTGGCTCTAGTGGTAGAACGTTGGCCTTGAGCTGAAGAGCTGAGGGACAGCACCCAGGCCCAGAGTTCAGGCCCCACGACCGGACCCCCCCCCAAAAAAAAAAAACTCTGAGGAAAGAATGTCTGCTTAATGAAAACAGAAGATAGAGAGGCTTTTCAAAAACCACAATAATAAAGAAAATCTGAGTGGCCCTTGCAGAAATTATCATCAAAGAGCCAGAGAAAAATTAGTGCCTGAATGGCTAGGCGTTGGTGGCTCATGCCTGTAATCCTAGCTACTGAGGAGGCTGAGATCTGAGGATGGCCCCAGGACAAGAAAGTCCATGTGACTCTTATCTCCAATTAACCACCAGGAAACCAGACCTGGTATTGTGGCTCAAAGTGGTAGAACACTGCTTTTGAGTGAAAATAAAGCTCAAAGACAGTACCTGAGTTCAAGCCCTACAACTGACAAAAATAAAAATAAAAAAATTAGTGCCCGAGTGAGAGGAGGGATCAGGTGATGGATAAGGCAAAGGTCCAGTGTTAATACTTGGAGAATCTAAAAAAAGGTATTTTTGTTTTCAGTTATTTAGCTTGATCTACATGTCCAGCCCATTTGCTGTAAAAGAAGAACCAGCCGAAGGGAGTGATTTAAATAGTGTGTGAGTATTCATTTGGCCAGGCAGCTGCCCTGTTTCAGTGGCTGATTTCCTAGTATCTACTCTGTATTCCAGATGTACCAAGTATTTCTAAATAAAGGAATAAGGGATCTGGAAATGGGAGCTTTGGACTCAGACCATGCTACTTAGCCAGTAACTAACTATGTCTTATGTAAGAAATCCAGCATGTAATAGACAATCATTGAAAAACCAGGCTGGGTCAGCCTCTAGTCCTAGGTAGGAGGCTGAAATCTGAGCATTTAGGTTTGAAGCCAGCCTTGGCAGGAAAGTCCATGAGACTCTTATCTCCAGTTAACCACAAAAAGGTAGAAGTGGAGCTATGATTCAAGTAATAGCATGCCAGCCTTGAGCAATAAAGCTAAGGAGACAGTGCCCGGGCCCTGAGTTCAATCTCTAGTACTCCCCCCTCCCCCAACACACCAGGATGGGTTGAGGGAGTAGATAAAAGTCAAATCCCCAGTACTGCTAGCAAAAAATCAAAATGGGTTGGAGGCATGGCGGCTCAGTTGGTAGAGCATTAGCCAGTGAGTGAAAGCATGAGGTACCAAGTTCAAGTCCTGGTCTCCAACATTAAAAAAAGAAAAAACAAGCAACAACAACAAAGAAAAACAGGCTGTTGGGAAAAAGAGGAAGAAACAAATCTACTCATGAAATCTGGTTCAAATGATCCACAACTGTTTTTGAGCAAATATATAAAGGCCAACTAAGCCATCCTTAATGATTATAGGGTAGCTCTGGCAGTTTTCATTAATTCCAAGAGAATATGTAGCTCAAACAGGGAAAATAGGCCCTTGCCAGAAGGAGATAGTTGAACAATGTCCAGGAACATTTTTGGTTTTCATAATTAGTATGGTTGGGAAAGAAAAGTGGTAGTTGCCCGAAGTAGAGGCCAGACATGGTACTAAAAAACTTACCATACACAGAGAGCTCCCATGACAAAGAATTATCCACCAGTACCAAGACTGACCTTGAGGAATTCCAGTTCTCCTTTACAAATGACATCATGGCACACAGACTGTATCCTTTTATCTTTCCAGCAGAACAGCTACAAATCACCAAAACATAAAGTACCCAGTTCTTTGTTATTTGTTTCTCGTGTAATGTCCCTCTAAAAAAAGAAGAAAGTTTAACTAAAACAGATAGAATGGATCCCTTTTATTCCATTGAACACTACCAAGTGTTTGTTGTTTTGTGCTGACCCTGGGCTTTGAACTCAGGGTCTGGGTGCCTGTTTCTGAGCTTTTTTGGGCCAATCATGGGATTTGAACTCAGGGCCTGGGCACAGTCCATGAGATTTTTTTCTCTCTCTCTCAAGGCTAGCACTCTACTAGCACCACAGCTCTACCTTCAGCTTTTTGTTGGTTAAATTGGATAGAGTCTCCCAGATCTTCCTGACTGGGCTGGCTTTGAACTATGATCCTTAGATCTTAGCCTCCTGAGAAGCTAGGATTATATGCACTGAGCCACTAGAAGCCAGCTTTCCCTCAGCTTTTTTGCTCAAGGGGAGCACTATTATCAATTGACCTGTAGCTCCACTTGGGACTTCCCTGCCCACACTGGCTTTGAACTTCTATCTTCAGATCTCAGCCTCCTAAGTAGATAGGATTACAGGCATAAGCCTAGTGAGCCTATTTAATTTCATTTTGCCTCAAATCCATTATTCAGATTTTTGAATATGCTAGAACCCTATAACAAAAACAGTATAGCCAGGTGCCAGTGGCTCATGACTGTAATCCTAGATGTTCAGAAGGCTGAGATCTGAGGATCACTGTTCAAAGCCAGGCTGGGCAGAAAAGTTCCCATGAGACTCTTATCTCCAATTAACCATCAGAAAATCGGGAGTGGTGCTATGGCTTAAGTGGTAGAGAGCTTGCCTTGAGCTGAAGAGCTCAGGACAATGCCCAGGCCCAGAGTTCAAGCCCCATGACTGACAAAAAACAAACAAAAAAAAGCAGGGCTGGGAAAGTGACTCAGTGGTAGATTGCTTGCCTTGCATGCATGAAGCACTGGGTTCAATTCCTAAGCACCATATAAGCGGAAAAAGCCAGAAGTGGTGCTGTGGCTCAAGTGGAAGAGAGCTAGCCTTGAGTGGAAAAGCTGAGGAACAATGCCCAGGCCCAGAATTCAGGCCCGACAACTGACAAAAAAGAAAAAGAAAAGAAATCAAATAAAAGGTGTTATAGAATCATAGAACAACGCATTGTCATTTAAAAGCAAATCTCTGATTTATATATAAATAATTAATTTTCTAATAACTATAGGAAGAAGATAAAGCAAGTACTTTTTTTTTTGTTGGTCATGGGGCTTGAACTCAAGGCTTAGGCGATGTCTCTGCGCTCTTCAGCTCAAGGTGAGCACTCTACCACTTGAGCCATAGTGCCACTTTCAATTTTCTACTGGTTTATTGGAGATAAAGAGACTCACTGATTTTTCTGCCTGGGCTGGCTTTGAACTGTGATTCTCAGATCTCAGCCTCCTGAGTAGCTTGGATTATAGGCCTGAGCCACCGGGGGCACTCAGCTAAACAAGTACTTTTTTTTCCTCATTTGACATATGAGGAAGTAGTCATAGAGATGCTTAGTAGTTTTTCTCAAGATCATGAAACGCCTCAGTAGATACAAATACTAGAACTGAAACCCAGTGCCTCTGACCTGACACTTGGCTCTGTACACTGGCTTTACATGAGATTTCCAATAACATTTATATCCAATCTCCTTACAGAAAAATTCAGGGCTGGGATGTAGCTCAGTGGCAAAGCGCTTGCCTAGCAAGCGCAACGTCCTGGGTTCGATCCCCAGTACCAAAAAAAAAAAGAAAAGAAAAAAAATACAGTTAAAAAAAATTCAAAACAGGGCTGGGAATGTGGCTTGTTGGTAGAGTGTTTGCCTAGCATGCATGAAGCCCTGGGTTCAATTCCTCAGTACCATATAAACAGAAAAGGCTATGGCTCAAGTGGTAGAGTGCTAGCCTTGAGCAGAAGAAGCTCAGGGACAGTACCCAGGCCCTGAATTCAAGCCCTAGGACTAGCAAAAAATAAATAAATAAATAAATAAAAATTCAAAACAAGCCAGGCACTGATGGCTCATGCCTGTAATTCTAGCTACTCAGGAGGCTGAGATCTGAGGATCGTAATTCAAAGCCAGCCCAGGCAGGAAAGGCCAGGAGAGTCTTATCTCTAATTAACCTCCAAAAACTGGAAGTGGCCCTGTTGCTTAAGTGGTACATTGCTACCCTTGTGTGAAAAAGTTCAGATAGCACCCAGGACCTGAGTTCCAGCCCTGTGAGTGACAAAGAAAATTAAAAACAAATAATGCTAAGAAAAATAACGTGTTTTTTTTGTTTGTTTGTCTGCTATGGTCACATTAAAAAATATAAGCAGTTAGATGGATGCCATTGGTTCACACCTCTAATCCTAGATACTTTGGAGGTTGAGACTTCAGAGGATCTTGGTTCAAAGCTAGTTTGGGCTAAAAAGTCCAAGAGATTACATCTCTAATTAGCAAAGAGCCAGGCTGGAGACATGGCTCAGGTATAGAGCACCAGGCATGAACAAAAAGGCTGATCATGGGCTGGGAAGGTGGCTCAGTGGTAGAGCGCTTGCCTTGCATGCCTGAGGCCCTGGGTTCGATTCCTCAGCACCACATAAGCAAAAAGAAAAAGCCGGAAGTAGCGCTGTGGCTCAAGTGGTAGAGTGCTAACCTTGAGCTGAAGAGCTGAGGGACAGCGCCCAGGCCCAGAGTTCAGGCCCCACGACCGGACCCCCCCCCCACCAAAGAAAAAAAAGGCTGGTCATTGTGAGAATCTTGAGTTCAAGCCTTAGTACCAGCAGTTGTTTTACATATGCATCCATGTATGTATGCACATACCTATATTCATGCATTTATATACATGTGTGTATATATGCATACACACACACTTGCTGTAAGTGAGGCATTTGGAATCAGGGAAAAGGAAAGGTAGACAAAGTGAAGACTGATTCTGAATCTGGATTTTACCACTGACTTGACTTAAGACTTTAAGCATGTCATAGAATATCTCTACCTTAATTTGCCTATCTGCCCTAAATTATGGCCTGAAGCCTATGAAGGCTGTTTAAAACCCATAATGGTTTGTATTTGTGTTTTTAAGTTAAGTTGACACTCCCTACAATTAAAAACTAAGCATGGGAAAATAGATTTTTAATTCCAATTTCCTTTTGGAACCTGATATTCTTCAGAAAAGGTGCTATGTCTGTTTTACACTGGTTTAGCTTGTTGTACTGGTTATTAGAAATAGAAGTGGAACACTTTAATGTAATGGTATGATTTACAGATTAACCAAAAAAGGCAATTGGACTGACTTCATTTTTGTCCTGTAAGCCACTACAGGAGAGTGAGCAGCATTGCTTCTGCAACAAAGCCTTGAGTCATTGCATCTTGGGAAGAGATGGCTGCTTCCTGGGGCACTATCATTTTCATGCTGGTGATACCCTGTGTTTGCAGTACTGTCTTCTACAGAGACCAGCAGACATGGTTTGAGGGTGTCTTCCTGTCTTCTATGTGCCCCCTCAATGTCAGTGCCAGCACCTTGTATGGAATTATGTTTGATGCAGGGAGCACTGGAACTCGAATTCATGTTTACACATTCGTGCAGAAAATGCCAGGTAAGTTCAGCTGGAAACTTTGCCAGAATCCATGCTTTCCCATCTCCTGAAACAAATGTGCTATGTAAGAAGTAAATGTATTTCTTCAGAGAACATGTTGAATTATAATTGGATGCATAATTTAATTCCATGTGACATTAAGAGAGTTATGGTCTAGCTGGAGTCTGAAACCTACATGTCCAAAAGTATAGCTGTAATTTTCTTTCTTCTTCTCTAAAAGTGGTTAACATTCCAGAACTCCAAAATATTAAGAATATTGGGTGTAATCTTTGGGAAAGATCACATAGCATTCCACTGGCATTTTTGGAGAAGGGGCTAAGGAAACTTTTAAGAACGACTTTAGCTAAATTGTCAGTTTTCCTTCTTTCTGTTACCTAAAGAGCCAGGATGCAAAAACAAGGGAATCATAACTATGAAGCCAGCTGAACTACATAGCAAACTCAAAGCCAACTTGGGCTACAGAGAGAAACTCATCTCAAAAAGTTAAAAATAGATGGGCGCTAGTGGCTCATACCTCTAATTCTAGTTACTCAGGAGACTGAGATATGAGGATCACCGTTCAAAGCCAGCCCAGGCAGAAAGTCCATGAGACTCTATCTCCAGTGAACCATCAGAGAACCGGAAGAGGTGCCGTGGCTCACTCAAGTGGTAGAGTGCTTGCCTTGAGCTAAAGAGCTGAGGGACAGCGCCCAGACCCAGAGTTCAAGTCCTACAACCAACAACAACAAAAAAATTAAAAATAAAGTAAAATAGGACAAATGGATTAGTGCATGTTCATAATTCCAGCTTCTTGGGAGGCAGGTAAAACAATGTTGGGGTGTGGGGCCCTTTCTGAACTATAAAACAAAAAGTTCTATAATGGCTTAGGTAGAGCACTTGCTAGGCCAGTGGAAGTCCTTGAGTTCAAAACCCAAGTACTGCCAATTAATTAATTGATTAAGATAAAAATAGAAACATGGAAGAAAGAGAAAGAGCTAACTATCCCTCAGAAAAATGGCAAAAGATCCTCAAAGGTTGCCTGATACCCTCTATACCCAATACTTCTGCAAGACATTGAATCACAAGTGAGGTCATTTGGAATAGCTTGGTAGAGATAGGTTAATCCAAGCCTAACTTGAAAAACAACTGTTTTTCTTGTTCCATGGACAAAACAGGACAGCTTCCAATTCTGGAAGGAGAAATTTTTGATTCTGTGAAGCCAGGACTTTCTGCTTTTGTAGATCAACCTAAGCAGGTGAGTTTATTAAGATTTGATTTCTAGATTCTCAGTGCCTAGATAATTGTACCATACCACTGTTGCTTAAATATTTCATGCTGCTCATTAATGATATTGAGGCCATGTGTGTAATCAGTTTTCTCTTCTCAGTGAGTCTCCTTGATAGCAGTAATAAAGGCTGAGTGGAAAGGGACTAGAAAATAAGTTGTGTTCAGGCAGGAAATTATAGCATATTTTTTGTATATGTGTGTATACCTGTACGGGGCCTTGAATTCAGGGCCTATATGCTGTTCCTTAGTTGTTGTTTTTTTTCTCAAAGCTGGTGCTCTTACCACTTGAGCCACCACTCCACTTCCACTTTTTGCTGGTTAAATAGGAGATAAATCTTACAGACTTGTCTGTTTGGGCTGCCTTCAAACCACAATGTTCAGATCTCAGCCTCCTGAGTAACTAGAATTACAGGTGTGAGTACCTGCCTGGTATGATACCAGCTTTTAAGCAATTTATTTCCTTATATTTTCTGCTTTAAGATGTTGAGGTAATTAATTTGATTAAAATGCTTGGCCATGAACTGGTGGTGCAGTTCAAGTGGTAGTATGCCAGCATGAGCAAAAAAAAGCTGAGGAAGAACACAAGGCCCAGAGTTTTCAAACCGTGATACCAAATTAAAAAAAAAAAAACTAAGAAGAGTTGAAGGCATCAGCCGCATTCATGCAAATGCAGAAAATGTACATGAAATTCCATAGGATATGAGGTGTAAATGAGGCTGGCATGCAATGGCTCACCCTCTAATTATCTACCTACTTAAGAGGCTAAGATTTGAGGATCATAGTTCTAATTCAGGTAGGGCAGGAAGTCTGTGAGATTTGTATTTCCAATTAAGGACCAAAAATCCAGAAGTGAACCTGTAGCTCAAGTGATAGAGTGCTAGCCTGGAGTAAAAAAGCTAAGGGACAGTGCCCAGGTCCCAAGTTCAAGCCCCAGAACCAGCACAGACAAACAGAAAGACATGGTAATAAAGAGGAGGGGACCTAATGAATTCCATTTCAGAGTGCCCTGATGCAGGATGGAACCATGCCTGTATCTGAGAAATTAGGAAACAGTACATGAGGATAAAAGTCCTTGGTAGTAGAAGAATGAGAAATTGTGGCTAGCCAATGACTGTATTTCACATTTGATTACCCGAAGTATACCCCATGTGTCTGAGGCTATGCTGAAATAAATGGAATAAGCCAGAACACAGAACTTTGGCAAGAGTTATAAAAAGATTGTACAGTGTTGCAGAATAATCAGTAAGAAAAACCCTGGTATTCAAAATTATTTGAAGCTGGATGCCGGTGGCTCATGCCTATAATCTTAGCTACTCAGGAGGCTCAGACCTGAAGGTCAAAGTTTAAAGCCAGCCCAGTCAGGAAAGTCCATGAGACTCTTATCTCCAGTAAACCACACAGAAAACCAGAAATGGCACTATGGCTCAAGTGGTAGAGCACTTACCTTGAGTTGAAGAGCTGAGGCACAGCACCTATGCCCAGAATTCAAGCCCCATAACTGACCAAAAAAAAAAAAAAAAAAGATCTGAAGCCAGGCATAATGGAATGCATGTGTAATGCCAGCATTCAGGAGGCTAAGGCAGGAGGACCACAAGGTTAAGGCCAATCTAGACCGAATCCAGATTAGTTTAGGGTACATAGCAACTATCTCAAACCAAACCAAACAAAATGGTTTGAAAGCCAGGCATGATGGCACATGTCTGTAATCCCCGCACACAGTAGAATAGAAAATTTAAGGCTAGCCTGAGCTAGATTGTGAAATCCTACCTCAATTTAAAAAGAAAAAAAAAAGATTGAACTTGAAAGAACTGAAAGGCTATCTGAACTTAGTAGCACATGAAATGATAGATGTGCTAGGAAATTAGGAACTGTTGAAAGCAACTACATTATCCAAGTACATGATCAGAAATTGATGCAACATTTAGAAAAGGTGATTGTGTTGTGGTTGCTAATAACAAGGAACAGTGTGTTTACTTAGGGAAATTCTGGATTTCAAATAATGGGTTTCATTTATTACAAATTAAGTGTCTTCTATGTGTCATACATATAGATGCTAGTGACAGAAACATGAGCCTGACATGTTCTGACCTTGCGATCACATCATGACAACTAAAGCTAGCATTTGATTTGCATGGTACCACAAAAGAATCTAGTGATGGGGCTGGGAAGGTGGCTCAGTGGTAGAGCGCTTGCCTTCCATGCACGAGGCCCTGGGTTCGATTCCTCAGCACCACATAAGCAAAAAGAAAAAAAAGCCAGAAGTGGCTGCTGTGGCTCAAGTGGTAGAGCGCTAGCCTTGAGCTGAAGAGCTGAGGGACAGCACCCAGGCCTAGAGTCCAGGCCCCACAACCGGACCCAAAAAAACCCCAAAGAATCTAGTGATGAAATAAGCCATATCTCCATCAAGCACTAGGAAGGCTGACTGTTCCAGGTTAGGTCCTAGGACTGCCAAGGAAGTCTCTTGATTCTTTTTTTTTTGGAGGGGGGGGACAGTCATAGACTTGAACTCTGGGCCTGGGCGCTGTCCCTCAGCTCTTCAGCTCAAGGCGAGTGCTCTACCACTTGAGCCACAGTACCACTTCCTGTTTTCTGATGGTTTATTGGAGATAAGAGTCTCCCAGAGGGGCTGGGAAGGTGGCTCAGTGGTAGAGCGCTTGCTTTGCATGCTCAAGGCCCTGGGTTCGATTCCTCAGCACCACACAAGCAAAAAGGAAAAAGCCGGAAGTGGTGCTGTGGCTCAAGTGGTAGAGTGCTAGCCTTGAGCTGAAGAGCTGAGGGACAGCGCCCAGGCCCAGAGTTCAGGCCCCACGACCGGACCCCCCCAAAAAAAAAAAGAGTCTCCCAGAGTTTTCTCCCTGGGCTGGCTTTGAACCGTGATCCTCAGATCTCAGACTCCTGAGTAGCTAGGACTACAGTCGTGAGCAGCCAGTGCCCAGCTTCTCTTGATTCTTAACTACTAATTTCTCTTCACTGTACTCAAATTTTCTGGCCTGAACATAACTTATCAAAACAAAATGACAGTCCACTAAAATAACCACACTATAGAATTGTGGTCTCTCTTTCAAAGGGGCCCACTTTTCTGAGTTTCTGCTTCTACAGAGCACAGGGAGAGGGGTTGATGCCTACTTCAAGGCCCACTCAGAGCAGTTCTGCTAAATGGATAGCTCATTGTGTGAGTCCCTTGTCTCTTTTGAAGGCTGCTGAGACTGTTCAAGGGCTCTTAGAGGTGGCCAAAGGTTCAATCCCTCGAAGTCACTGGAAAAGGACGCCAGTGGTCCTGAAGGCCACAGCAGGACTACGCTTACTGCCGGAAAAGAAAGCCCAGGCTCTACTATTTGAGGTAATTATTTAAGTCTGATTTGTAATAATTTACCCCTCCACTTTTATTGAGGTTTTCCTAAGACATTTAAAGCAGTCCCTGTCCCAGATATTCTCACTTCTATCTTTTCAGAATAATCATAGAAAGGTTTTTGGGTTTTATTTGTTTGGTTTTTTTTTGTGCCAGTCCTGGGGCTTAAACTCAGAGCCAGGTGCTGTCCTTGAGCTAGTGCTCTACCACTTGAGCCACCGCACCACTTCTGCCTTTTTTTTTGGGTAGTTAATTGGAGATAAGAATCTCTCAGGCATGGGGCTGGGAATATAGCTCAGTGGTAGAGTGCTTGCCTAGCATGCATGAAGCCCTGGGTTCGGTTCCTCAGTACCACATATAAAGAAAAAAACAGAACTGGTGCTGTGACTCAACAGGTAGAGTGCTAGCCTTGAGCAAAAGAAGCTCAGGGCCAGTGAGCAGGCCCTGAGTTCAAACCCCCGGACTGGTAAAAAAAAAAAAAAAAAGAATCTCTCAGGCTTTTCTGCCAGGGCTGGCTGCAAACTACTGTCTTCAGATCTCAGCCTCCTGAGTAGCTATGATTACATGCTTGAGCCACTGGTGCCCAGGTAGAAATGGTTTTCAATCAACTTTATTGAGATATATTTCTGTACAATAAAACATAGCCATGTAAGGTATTCAAGGAAATGCATTTGTTCTATTTTCTATTTTATTTTTTTAGTTAGTTGTGGGGCCTGAACTCTGGCCTGGGCACTGTCCCTCAGCTCTTCAGCTCAAGGCTAATGCTCCACCATTTGAGCCACAGTGCCACTTCTGGCTTTTTCTGCTTATGTGGTATTGAGGAATTGAACCCAGGGCCTCATGCATGCAAGACAAGCATTCTACCACTGAGTCACCTTTCCAGCCCCAGGAAATGCATTTTGACAAATATACCATGTTATAGTGTCCCCCCCATGCCGACCCCCCACATCTCTCTCTTTTGTTGGTCATGGGGCTCTTGAACTCTGTGCCTGAGTGCTCTCCCTCAGCTCTTCAGCACAAGGCTAGTGCTCTACCACTTGAACCACAGCACCACTTCTAGGTTTCTTGTGGTTTATTGGAGATGAGTCTCAGCCGGGCACTGGTGGCTCATGCCTATATACCTAGCTACTCTGGAGGCTGAGATCTGAGGATTGTGGTTCAAAGCCAGCCTGGGCAGGAAAGTCTATGAGACTCTTCAATTAACCACCAGAAAACTAGAAGTAACACTATGGTTCAAGTGGTAGAGCTCTATCCTTGAGCTGATGAGCTGAGGGACAGCGGCCAGGCCCAGAGTTTAAGCCCCATGACCAACAACAACAACAACAAAAAGTCTCAGGGACTTTCCTAGCCAGGCTGGCTGTGACCTGCGATCCTCAGATCTCAGCCTCCTGAGTAGCTAGGATTACAGATGTGAGCCAAAGACACCCAGGTAGTGTTTCCCATTTCTGACCTAGCAACCACTGATATGCATTCCTTTAGTATAGGTAACTTTTGTTTGTCCTTATGTTTCATATGAATGTGATCATAGTCTGGTGCTAGTGGCTCACACCTATAATCTTCGGTACTCAAGCAACTGAGACCTGGAGAATTGAGATTCAAAGTCAGCCAAGGCAGAGAAGTCTGTGAGACTTCTTCCATCTCCAATTAGCCAGCAAAATGCTGAACTAGAGATATGGCTCCAGTAGAGTACCAGCCATGAGCAAGCAAGCCAAGCAAGACCCCCAAGGCCCTAAGGTCAAACCCTGGTATCAGCACACACAAAAAAAGAATCATAAACTTTATATTGTTTTATTCATGTCTGGATTTTTTTTTCTCTTGCCACAAAATTTTTGAGAAGAATAATGGAATTTTAAAAGTTTTCACCCTTATATGAAAGTTTAAGTATACAGTTTTATTAAACAATATTTATCATACATATTTATTATATGATAAAAACATAATCAGGTTTAAATTTCATGTTGTCAAGAATATTCATAGGGGCTGGGAATGTGGCTTACCGGTAGAGTTCAATTCCTCAATATCATATAAGCAGAAAAAGCTGGAAGTGGCGCTGTGGCTCAAGTGATAGAGTGCTATAGTCTTGAGCAAAAGAAGCTCAGGGACAGTGCCCAGGCCCTGAGTTCAAGCCCTAGGACTGGCAAAAGAAAAAAAGAAAGAAAGAATATTCATAGGCAGAATTGCAATTTTTTTTTTAATCACGGCAAAAAAGAATTGTATGAGGCTGGAATTGTAGCTTAGTGGTAGAGTGCTTGCCCAGCATATACATGAAGCTCTAGATTCAATTCCATAAACAGATTCTAAGCTGGAATAGGAACTATGACTCAAGTGGTAGAGTGCTGGCTTTGAGCAAAAGATGCTCAAGGACAGTGCCCCTCTGCATAATTAATGTAAGCTAATAATATAGATATATTTTTTTTCTTTTTGTCAATCATGGAGCTTAAACTCTGGTCTTAGACTACTGGTTTATTAGAGATAAGAGTCTCACAGACTTTCGTGCCCAGGCTGGCTTTGAACCTCAATGCTCAGATCTCAGCCTCCTGAGTAGTTAGGATTACAGGCGTGAGCACCGGCACCCAGCATAAAAATAATTTTTAATAGGCCTGGGAAGGTGGCTCAGGGGTAGAGTGCTTGCCTTGCATGCATGAGGCCCTGGGTTCGATTCCTCAGCACCACATAAGCAGAAAAAGCCAGAAGTGGCGCTGTGGCTCAAGTGGTAGAGCGCTAGCCTTGAGCTGAAGAGCTGAGGGACAGTGCCCAGGCCCAGAGTTCAGGCCCCACAACCGATGCCCCCCCCAAAAAAAATGGCAAGAAAGCTGAGTTCATGCCTGTAATTCTAGCTACTATGAGGCTGAGATTTGAGGATTCAAAACCAAGCTTGGATAGGAAGGTCAATGAAACTTTTTGTTGTTGTTGTTGTTGGTTGTGGGGCTTGAACTTTGGGTCTGGAGGCTGTCCCTGAGCCTTTCAGCCTACAGTGAACACTCTACCACTTGAACACAGCGCCACTTCCAGTTTTCTGGTGGATAATTGGAGATAAGAGTCTCATGGACTTATCTTCCCTGGTTGGCTTTGGACCTGCTTGATCTTCAGATCTCAGCCTCCTGAATAGCAGGATTACAGGCCTAAGCCACCAGTGCCTGGCTCAATGAAACTCTTTTTTTTTTTTTTTTGAGTCCGGTTGTGGGGCCTGAACTCTGGGCCTGGGCGCTGTCCCTCAGCTCTTCAGCTCAAGGCTAGCACTCTAACACTTGAGCCACAGTGCCACTTCCGGCTTTTTTCTTTTTTCTTATGTGGTGCTGAGGAATCGAACCCAGGGCCTGATGCATGCAAGGCAAGTGCTCTACCACTGAGCCACCTTCCCAGCCCTCAATGAAACTCTTATCTCCAGTAAACTACTCAGAAAAAGTCCAAGGTGGTAGGTAGTGTAGTACAGTGCTAGCCTTGAGAGAAAAGCTCAAGGGACAGCACCCAGGCCCTGAGTTCAGGTCCCAGGCCTGACACGCACACACACACACACACACAACACACACAGGCAAGAAAGATAAAATTGGTTGGAGAAGAGGAAGTAAGGAAGGATAATGGGGTGAATATGATCAAAATATATGAATGTGTAGAAGTCACAGTGACCCTCCCACATTGTACAGAGCACAGTGACTTATGCCTGTCATCCATCCCAGAGGACACAGGGTTTTCATTTGTTGCATAAGGGAACAAATGAAATGATATCTTCTCCTTAGGTAGAAGAGATCTTCAAGAAGTCACCCTTCCTGGTCCCAGATGACAGTGTTAGCATCTTGGATGGATCCTACGAAGGTGGGAGAGACGGTGAAGTATGTTCTCAGGGAAAAGGAGCGGGTCAGTGAAAGACCTAATTTAAGGAACTAGACAAAGGGAGCAGGCACTGAATAAAAAGTAGCTAAGGATAAACAAGTAAGCAGGGAGGAATGGGGTAGCAGAAAATAGAAGGAAAGGGGAAGAGAAATAGATGTCCTAGGCATAAAATTTAGAGAGAAAAAGAACAAAGAAGGGGCCAAGAAAGAAATGCTGTGGAATGCAATCCTTGTCTTTCTCTCTTTTAGGCATATTAGCCTGGGTTACTGTGAATTTCCTAACAGGTAATAAATATATCCTCATATTTGTCTTAAGACCTTAACTGGCTTTCACAGGAATGCTAGGAGGGTAAAAATCTATTTTCCTGTCCTTTATTACTCTTTTTTAGAAAAAGATGTGTGGGGTTGGAGGCAAAGATAAAGAAGTTAATGTTTATGATTTGCCCTTAATTACAAACTGGGTGCCGGTGGCTCATGCCTATAACCCTAGCTACTCAGGAGGCTGAAAACTGAAGATCCCAGTTCAAAGCCAGCCTGGGCAGAAAAGTCCATGAGACTTCTATCTCCAAATTACCACCAGAAAAGTGGCTCTGTGGCTCAAGTGGTAGAGCACTCGCCTTGAGCTGAAAAGCTCAGGATTAGTGCCCAGGCCCAGAGTTCAAGCAAGAGTCCTCCTGAGTTGACATTTACCTGCAGTCTTTGGGACCAAGGAGCAGAAGAATATTTAAGGAAAAACCATTGGTATGCAAGAAATATATACCGTTGGCATACCATTGGTAGACCTGCAGACAGATGAATGCTGGGCTGTCCAGGATGTGGGGAATACTCAGAGTTGGCTCTCATTAACAGGTCAGCTGCATGGCCATGGCCAGGAGACCATGGGGACCCTGGACTTGGGGGGAGCCTCTACCCAAATCACATTCTTGCCCCATTTGGAGGTGAGTCATTTATGTAAAAGTCATATCACACTGGCCTTAGCAGACAAACTATAGTGGCCCCTATTTCAGACAGCAGCTCTCCCTGGAACAGCTTGGTGAGGGAAAACTTTTTACCCTCTCAATGTCCAGAGCCCTTTGATCCTTCAGGCATTGGGAGATTAGCAGCTTACTTTTTTCATCTCTGATTTTTTGGGGGGATGGAGAGGAATTGTTGAAATAAGATCTTCAAATAATTTCAGATCCTGAGAAGTCATTTTGCTTTTTCTGATTTGCAGAAAACCCTGGAACACACCCCTCAAGGCTACCTAACTTCCTTTGAGATGTTTAACAGCACTTTTAATCTCTATACACATAGGTGAGGATGGGAACGGGGAAGATAACTTTCTCCTAACTTTTCAAAGTATTTTCATGTCTATTATTGCTATATGATCAACACTCTGTCAGTCCCCAAAGTTGTATCAACTAAAACTCAAGTTACTTACCAAAATCCAAGAGACTTGAGGCTTGCCTCTAAAACATGTGATACAAGTTTTCAGAGAAAAGACTCAGCACTCAGCTAAATCTCTAATCATCCTTTGATCTGGCCTTCTGAAGTTGAGAATCCAGCCAGGAATTTGATACCAGTAGGGATAGGAGCTAAGATAATGAATGCTTTTCTGGGGATGGTCCTCAGGGTGGGACCCTAAGAATTGCTATCTCTGGCCTTTGACTCATACCTGTAGGCAGTTCTTACTGCATAGTCTTGACCTGAACTGTGGAGAAACTTCCACTTGTTAACCACATGAAATAAAAAAGTCACAGAAGTTGGGTGTTGGTGGCTCACACCTGTAATCCTAGCTAATTAGGAGGCTGAGATCTGAGGATCATGGTTCAAAGCCAGCCTGGGCAGGAAACTTTGAGACTCTTATCTCCAGTAAGCCACTCAGAAAACCAGAAATGGCACTGTGGCTTAAGTGGTAGAGTGCTTGCCTTGAGCTGAAGAGCTGAGGGATAGTGCCCAGGCCCAAAGTTCAAGCCCTATGACAAACTCCCCCCCCACAAAAAAAAAAAACAAAAAAAGTCACAGAGCTAGAAAAAGGGTTTTAATTTCTCCAAAAGAAGTCAGAGAAACTATATCGCTTCTGAAAGAGGTAGCTTTGTGCTTAGGAAACTTCAGGACCAGACTGAAATTGGTCGATCTTGCATTTTACAGTTACTTGGGATTTGGATTGAAAGCTGCAAGACTAGCAACACTGGGAGCCCTGGAGACACAAGGTTCGTCTGGGTACCTGTGCCAGGTGGGGGATGGTGAAGTGACTTCTATACTTAGTTTGCTTCTTCCCTTCCTTGGCAGGGATTCTGTGGAAGAAAGGCTTATGTTGAACTAGGTAGCATGTGGTGTATAGTGGATATAATAATAGAAAATTTCCTATCTGTAAGGTCAGATGTTTTGGTCTGTATTAAATTTGTAGAATGAGGTCTGCTTATATAGGGGTAACCGCCCGTGGTTAGGAAGCTGAAACCTCTGTAGTAGTTGGCAGGAGGTAGACAAATCCTTACTTATTTTATGTGGGAAGTCCAGGAATCAGCATCTGTCCTGTTAGCAAGGTAGAATAACTCTCCATTCATCTCTTCACAACTGGGAAAAGGCAGACCTGGCTGTAGTATCAGTTTTGTGACTTAGGGCTAGTTAATTGACCTTTCTATATTCTAGTCCTCACCTTAAATGTGATTTTATATTTAATAAACTTTGTGTAGAGCCAGTCTCACAGCAAGCTAGTATTGATGAAGATTGTATAGCATCCAGAGTTTACTAAACATCTTCAGATATACTTCATTTAAGTTTCTTGGCTCTAGTGAAGGAGATGATAGATAGCATAGTATTTTCCTTGCAATATAGAAAAGAAGGAACTTACTTTATTGTGAGTTTTGAATTTCTTTGAGATGTTACGAAAGCTATGGACCCACTGCCAAATGTGCATGTACATGAAATTCATCTGTAGTTTGAGAGGAACTACCCATGCCTGTCTGTGAAGCCAGTCCTGAGTTAAGAATTCATGTATGAGCTGGGAATGTGGCTTACTGGTAGAGTGCTTGCTTAGCATGCATGAAGCCCTGGGTTCAATTCCCCAGTATCACATAAACAGAAAAAGCTGGAAGTGATGCTGTGGCTCAAGTGGTAGAATGCTAGCCTCAAGCAAAAGAAGCTCAGGGACAGTGTCCAGGCCCTGAGTTCAAGCCCTCCACGACTGGCCAAAAAATAAAAAATGAATTTTTGTGTGTGTGTGTGTACTGAGGCTTGAACTTAAGGTATGGTGCTCTGTCTTAGCCTTTTTCTCTCAAGGCTGGTACTCTACCGCTTGAGCCATATTTCCACGTCTGGCTTGATGCTGGTTAGAGATAAGAGTCTCTCAGATCTGTCTTCCCTGCTGGCAAGCTTGAATCACAGTCCTCAGATCTCAGCCTCCTGAGTAGCTAGAATTAAAGGTGTAAGCCACTACTGCCTGGGTAGTTAAGAATTCTTTCAGGAGCTGGATGCCAGCAGCTCAAATCTATAATTAGCCATCAAAAAGACTGAAGTGGAGCTGTGACTCAAGTCATAGAGAGCAAGCCTTGAGTAAAAATGAAACAATGTCTAGGCCCTGAGTTCAAGCCCCAGCACCAGCAAAAAGAATCCTTTGGGGACTTAGTGGTAGATGTTTGTAATCCTAGCACTTGGTAGGTGAGGCAGGAGGATCAGAAGTTCAAGGACAGCCTGGCTGCATAACAAAATCCTATCTCAAAATCCAAGGGTTGAGCTGGGCACCAATGGCTCACATATGTAAATTCTAGCTACTCAAGAGACGGAGTGAGATCTGAAGATTGGGTTCAAAGCCAGTCTGAGTAGAAAGGTCCATAAGACTCTTTATGTCTAGATAACCAGCAGAAAGACAAGCAGTGACTCAAGTGGTAGGATGCTATCATTGAGTGCAAAAGCTCAGGAACAGTGGCCAGGCCCTGAGTTCAAGCCCCAGGACTGGCACACATATACACACACCAAGGGCTTTCATCCTTACTAACTTCTTACTTGCCTTCCTCCCTTTCACCTACTTGCCTCTTTGTGCTCTGGTTTCTTTCAGGGATTGAAGGACATACCTTTCGAAGTGCCTGTTTACCAAGGTGGTTGGAAGCAGAGTGGATTTTTGGGGGTATGAAATACCAGTATGGTGGCAACCAAGACGGTGAGTGTTGTTTTGTTGTTGTTGTTTTGTTTTGTTTACTAATTTAAACCACCTTACAAAGCTAGGTACTGGGGCTGGGAAGGTGGCACAGCGGTAGAGTGCTTGCCTTGCATGCATGAGGCCCTGTGTTCGATTCCTCAGCACAACATAAACAAAAAGAAAAAAGCCAGAAGTGGCGCTGTGGCTCAAGTGGTAGAGCTGAAGAGCTGAGGGACAGCGCCCAGGCCCAGAGTTCAGGCCCCACAACCGGACCCAAAAAAAAAAAAAAAAAAAGTTAGGTACTGGTGGTTCATGCTTATAAGACTAGCTACTCAGGAGGCTGAGATATGAAGATTGCAATTTGAAGCCAGCCCATACAGACAAATCTAATTCTTACCTCTAATTATCAACAAGCCAGAAATAGAGTTATAGCTCAAGTGATAGAGTGCCAGCAGAGAGAAAAATAAAAACTGATCCGAGAGACTGATTGTTGGTCGTTCAATGCCTATAATCATAGCTACTCTGGAGGTTGAGATCTGAAGATCAAGATTCAATGCCATCCAAGTAGAAAAACCCAGGAGAATCTTATCTCCAAAAAGCTGGAAGTGGAAGTGTGGCTCAAGTGGTAGAGTGCCAGCTTTGAGGGGGAAAAAGCCAAGTGGAACCACAAAGTCCAAGTTTAAGCCTCAATACCAGCAAAAGTTTGATTGAGAGCATGAGATTCTGAGTTCAAGTCCCTGTATTTCAAGTCCCCCCCCCAAAAAAAAAGAGAAAAAAATTATAAGAATCAGGTGAGGTGGCATACAGGATGATTGAAAGTTCAAGGCCATCTTGGACCATTGAGGCTCAAAAAAAAAAATTGCGGGGCTGAGAAGGTGGCTCAGTGGTAGAGTGCTTGCCTAGAATGAATGAGGCCCTGGGTTTGATTCCTCAGCACCACATAAACAGAAAAAGCCAGAAGTAGCATTGTGGCTCAAGTAGTAGAACACTTGCCTTGAGCTGAAGAGCTGAGGGACAGCACCCAGGCTCAGAGTTTAAGCCCCACGACCAACAACAACAACAAAACATTCCTTTACAGTAGAAGTTATACAAAAGTACCATAGTAGATTTTTCCAGAACTCAAGGGATACCCATCCTATTGCAGACACTCATTGAAAAGATGTTGTTATGCCTCCATTGACTAATGTAAATGGACTAATGTAAATGTAAATGTATTAAGCAGCTGTTGCTGTGCAGATGATCTTGCTGTTGCCTTGCCTTGAATACTGTGGGTTGTTACAAACATGTTTGTAGCCTGAGAACAGAACGGTGGTGTGAAGCCATGTTTCAGATTCAGTTAATGTTTAGCCATTTATATCATAGTAGCAAATAAAACTGAGATGATAGGAAGAATGATTCATCTTAGATATTACAAAAGGCAGAGACTTTTTTTTTTTGGCCAATCCTGGGTCTTGAACTCTGGGCCTGGGATGGCAGCATCCTATCACTTGAGCCACAGCACCACTTTTGGATTTTCTGTGATTAATTGGAGATAAAAATCTCATGAACTGGGCTGGGAAGGTGGTTCAGTGGTAGA